ATGTGACAAAAGGACAACTTCTACTTTCGAGTGTATTCAACTTTGAACACTTGGATAAAGATACGAACGAGCCATCAGTAATACGATTGCAATAGGCAATATTGATCATTTCAAGGCCAACACAACCGCGAGCAACTGCTAACATTCCCAAGTCGGATATTCCAGCTGATCTGTCAAGAAGAATAATTAATCCAGCAATCAGCACACTTTATCTCTCGAATGTCATAGCGTAGAGTTAGAGTTTCCCAGTCTATCACCAAAAAAAAAAGGTCAAAGAAATTGCACAAGATATGAAGCACTGTGAAATATACACCTGTATAAATCAAGCTCCTTAAGATTTGAGCAGCACATGCCAATGTGAGTAACTCCCTGATCAGTTATATTCAGGCAGATCCCCAGCTTTAGGCTGGAAAGACGGGCACACTTGGAAATGGACTTCAAGCCTGCACATGTAGGAGAGCATAAGATACAAAAAGGTGGAAGTTTTGAAATTACGACAAAAGCCTGAAACCTTTAGGGCAAAGGGGCGACCTTCATCGTCAACTTCGTTGTCCGTAAGGTCAAGCTCTTCAAGGTACTGGCAACGCTGTCCAATTAGAACAAAAGCTTCTCTCGGGACTAGAGTACAAGACTCCATCCTGAGAGAAGTAAGGGAGGCACAGGAATTTGTTATATGGGAAATGGATACGTGAGTTATCTTGCGGCAACAAGTAATGTCAAGCTTCCTTAAGTCTTTGTGCTTTGTTACGAGGGAGCAGAGACCTTCATCCGTCACCCCCAAGCATTTACTTAAGCTCAGTTCCCTTAGTGAAACACACCAATTTCCAATAGCTTGCAGTCCAGAGCATGTAACTTGGCAACCATCTAGTTTGACGGACCGCAACCTGGAAAGCTTCTGCAAGCTATCCGCGACAGCTGATGTTACCTGAAATACCAATAATTGTAAATCAGCAATCGAATTAAAACTCATACTACTGAAAGATGCTTAAGTCAGTTAAGCCTTACAGGAGAACCATATGCTAAGATAAGTCGCTGCAGACATTCGGCACTGCTAGTGAGAGATGACAAACCCACGTGACTAACATTCTGACAGCTTGACATATCAAGTGCCTGAAAAAAGCCAACATACATGTAGTGATATTAGTCAACAGTGACTTTGAATGAAAAGTAGCAATAACTTGTAAATGGGGAGCAAAAACAAAAACAGATAATGATGTGCAAGGGAACACTTTAATTTCATAATAGGCCACTTCTTTGGGACATCTGACAATCAGGTAGAATTCTGAGCTGCCTATACTCCAGGTTACCTCAATTATTAACTATCTCAGAGAACTTATAGTAGTGTTGGCATAGTGAGACTCCAAGTATTATTTTCTGTTATTGATAATTGTGATGTCCGGGCCGGCTTATGCGAACCTCGACTAATTCCACGAGAACGAGATACCTGCTACCTCCCACCAGTAACAAGTACCAGGTAAGTCTGTCCTCCAAGCTTGGACAGATGGAAGTCACCTAGTCTTTTCGCCTCTGCTGGGATTTGAACCTGAGACTTCATGTAACACCCCAGGCTTTAGACATAGTCCTACATCGGCAAAACACAAGAGGGATGTTGGGTATATAAGTTAACAAGCCTTAGACCCTAGTGACGCGTTTTAAACCCGTGAGGGCCTAGGCCCAGAGCGGACAATATCACTAGCGGGTTGGGCTGTTACAGATGGTATCAGAGCCACTCTTGTGTCAGCCATGCCGATGTAGGTCAGAGTTCAACTGAGTTTAGGCAAATCCGGGTTAGGCGGGGCAAACCTCAGTGCTGAGTTTAGGCAAATCCCATGCGGTGGGACAAACCTTAGCGAGGACGTTGAGTCCATAAGAGGGAGTGTATGTAACACCTCAGGCTTTAGACATAGTCACACATCGGCAAAACACAAGAGGGATGCTGGGTATATAAGTTAACAAGCCTTAGACCCTAGTGACGCATTTTAAACCCGTGAGGGCCTAGGCCCAGAGCGCAAAATATTACTAGCGGGCTGGGCTGTTACACTTCATGGTTCCTAACCCACTTCATTGACCTCTAGGCCACACCCTTGAGTTCCGTGAGACTCCAATTATTAACTAGGCAATTAAGAAAAGTAGCCATATACTTTGTACATGTGAAAGAAAGGGTGCTTGAAGCTAGGATTATATCACAATTCACAAATTGTAGTCCACACAATAACAATATCCCTTTATTTTTTTCTATTTTCTGAAGAAAGAAGAATATGAGAACCAAAGTCTTCAAGAGTACACACCTTTAGTGACTTGCAGCCTTGCTTGAGGGATGCAAGGCTGTCATCATCAATCCCATAGCAACCTTCTAGAACCAAATCTTCAAGATATTGCAGTTTCGAGATTGACGATAAGCATTCATTAGTGATCTGCATCATAAGAAGATTAACATATTATTGTACAATACTCAGATAGAGCCCGCAGAAAGGGGGGGAAAACATAGCAAAACCGGAAAAAAAAAGGGGGAAGAAAGAAAAGAAGATAGGATCTCATAACAAGACATTGAAAAAGATGACATATAACAACTTCATAAATAAAGGAAGCCACCAGAACGTTGTTACATCTGGAATTTAACTTCAGAACCAAAGTCGTAGTAAACTGGTAAGTAAAAAAGAGACTTTGAAATCACGTCAACAAGAACTTTCTCATAGTAATTAATGGTCACCAATGTAACTGAGGCCAGTAGAGTAGACCAGACAAATTCAGCTACTTTACTAGGTCTTATACTAATACTTAAGCAGCGTGCACATATGAGAGAATCTGCGTAGATGCTCTACAGCAATAAAACCTGCAATAATTTCAAGTCATCCAGGAGTACAATAAGATAACATTCAATTATTCATCCAAAAAGGTATAGGATTGTAGAGTTACGCGTGTTCAAGAGGATTCAATAGCTGGACTCTGCAATGTAGCTTCTCTTTGGCAAACTTCAGGCCAGAAGCATGCTAAAAGGCGCATCTCCTCAGTGGAGAAAACGCAATACAAAGGATACACTTGTCTAAGACAGGTTGAATATTAGCAAATGTGTAATAATGTTAGATAATTTTTTGACGGATGTCCTTTCCCTTCTAATTCAAAAGAATCAGCATTGAGTTTGATGAATTAGTGACACGTAAGCACTTGTTGACCACTGCAAACTCATTACGTTCCTTATGGAGGATAGAGAACAAAAATATGCTTATGAAGTTTTAAGAAAGAAGATTGTTATAGAATGAACTTAGTCACATTTGATGTGATGTGCGCAGATAGCATAGTTATAAGCATTAATAGCAGATGTATAGGATTTCCCTTTTTGATTCTTTCCATAGTTAGAACCCTATGTACATGTATTTATAGCTGTTACCTCTTGGAATAATATACAAGTTCTTCCATTCAATTACAAAGATTAAATATAGCAGTCTCTTAGACCATGTTAACGATATAACAAACTAACATTCCCAAAACAATCTTCACTTACGCTACATTTGTTATACGACACACATATGCATATTAGGCATCAAGGATACATAAGAATTCAAATAAACCAATTCCATAACCATTTTGAAAGTATGTCAATTAATCTGATAAGCAATTAATATGTTAACTAGCTTGGTAAAATTATGACAATGAGAAATGAAACAGTTCTCGAAATCCTCAAGTAAAGTGACAAGTCACATGATAATCATTGATTGCGACATGAAGATACACATAGAATTCACCAGCTTCAGGTCCTGAATAAATATTGTCAACTGAACAACCAACCAATCAACAGCATACTCATAGCATGACAATGAGTTTAAATGAACTACTCCCTCTGTTCCAAAAAGAATGACACTATTTCCTTATTAGTTAGCAGGTTCAAAATGAATGGAACCTTTCTAAATTTGGAAAAGATTTAACTTGAACCTCCCATTTACCCTTCGTGACAAGCTTTTATAGCTATAGAAATGTTACGGCATGTTTAAGTCCACAAGTTTCAGAATTCTCATAGTCCACAAGTTTCAGAATTCTCATAGCCACACAACTATTATCGCATATTTAAGATCACGAGTTTCAAAAGTCTTTCTTTCTTTGTTAAGCTTCATGTCCAATCAAATTACGTCATATAAATTAATCCGAGGGAGTATATTAGACAGACAAACAAGCTTACTGTGAAAGCATAAAACAGAAACAAGTTGGACTAAACTCAAAAGGGGAAACACAAAAAGATAACAACCCAAACAAACTCACCATCCAAAAGAATATACAACACAAAAGAACAATCTCAAAATCAAAATAAAGGGAAGAAAAGATCCATTACCGGCAGGTAAGAAAGATCCAAACAACGAATCTCCTTACACTTAACAGCAATTAAACCCACACCTAAATCACCAACACCCAAACACCATCTCAAGCTAAGCAACCTCAGCTTCCTGCAGCCTACAGCAATACAACCAAGTCCAATATCTGTTATAGACTTACACCTCACCAACCACAACTTCTCCAAGTTCTTTGCCTCAGCTAATGCAGCAGCACCCACATCCTTCAACTCTGTTGCATTTGACAAATCAATTTCAACCAAATTCCCACAGTTCAACACCAAATTAGACAACCCCACATGGGTAAAAAACTTAGACCTTGAAAGATTAATTGACCTCAACATTTCCCTACAAAAACTAGCTATAAGTGTAAGTGAACTGTCTGTTATTCTAGGACAAAGGGAAAGATCAAGATGGTTAACTTGTGGGTATCTGCTAAGAATCTTTGTTAAGTGTTCTGACCTAAGGGGTTTCAAGGTTTTCCTATGGTGAGATTCAATAGCATAAAAAGACTTGCAAACAAGAGAAAATGATTTTTTGTCAATTGGGTTGTCATTAAGATAATCAAGAATTGAAAAGACAATTTCTTCAGAAAGAAGATCAAAGTGGTTGTTGAAATTCGATTCTGAATTTGGTTTTTGCTTCTTCATTTTTCCCAAGATTGAAACTTTAGGGATCATTTTGAGCTAAAGATTGGAGCTTTATGGTTTTCTATACAAGTTGACACAGAGCTTTTGTTTTGTAGCTCAGATTTGGTTTTAAAAAAAAAAAAAAAAAATACTATGTGTTGAGAAATTTGGAAGAATAAGAAGAGGGTATGTGGGATTTTAGGGGAAAATTTGAAGGTGGGGATATAAATTTTGTATGTGAATTTGATGACCGAAAAAGTTGGAAAATTAGAAGCAACCGTTAACAGAAAAACACTGGCCTAGTTTGAGCAGTTCAGAACCAAGTGAAGATGAAGAATGTCTCAATTTACTTTTTTATCCTTCTTGGACTTCTCCATATTCTTGAAAAGACCAATGTACCCTCTTAGCTTTGAGACTTCATGTATAATAATACCTATCCTAGATGATGCATGTGTTGCAATACTATTAAGAATGTGTTTGTTTTTCCAAAACAAACCTAACTTGGTAAAAATATTTCTCATTTGCATTAAAATTTTGAGAAGCTAAATCATAAGTGAAAAATGGAAATGTTCTATTTATGTCAAAACTAAATGTAAGGGAATAAATAAAGATGAGAAAACGCAAAAAATAGTGAGAGCCTCTCTCATATTCGTATACGAAATAGACTTTTCCATAGCTTCCTTGTGAGTAAAAAAGTAAAATTGCTATGTTTTAATGGTAATTTAGAAAGTTTACTAGGAAAATTAACTTGATTCTTCTACACTTGGTAGTAAAAAAGCCTAATTGCTAATTTTTAATGGTAATTTAGAAAGTTTACTAGGGAAATTAACTTGATTCTGCTACTATTGGTATACTTATAGCATGTTTTGCCAAATTTCTTTTTGTCTAAAAGTGTTTTTATTACCAAAGGGCTACTGTATTTTCTAAAGTTTAGGTGTTTGATCATTCTTCTAGAAGGAAATTTTTTTTTTTTAGTAGAAGCAGTTGTTGATAAGCGAAAAAAAAGTAGTTACTTTCCAAAAACACTTTCTTAAAAAATATTTTTGAGAAAATATACACTTTTTAAAAACTTGTCCAAACACTAATTGATGCTCAAAATATTTTTCAAATTAATTAGCCAAATACAAACTGCTATATTTTTCAAATTAATTAGCCAAACACAAACTGTTTCTCACTAAAAGTACTTTTTTGAATAACATTTTCAGAAAAAATAATTTTTAAATTAAGTGGATTTTGGAAACTCTGCCAACCAGATTAGAAAAGAGCAGCTCGGTGCACTAAGCTCTTACTATGTGCGGGGTCTGGGGAAGTGTCGAACCCTATATTTCTGCAAAAGGTTATTTTTACGGCTGGAACCTGTGACCTCCTAATCACATAATAACAACTGTACCAATTACGCTAAGGCTCTTCTCAACGACCAACCAAACTACTAAAAAAATGTTTGTATAGTACTTGTATAAAAAAAGGGGTAGAATGGTCAAATAAGGAGGAAGGGAGAATGCCGTACGGGAAAGGACAGAAAAGGATGGTAGCAACGGGGGATGTTGACGAAGGCGCAATGAAGTCATTTTCTTCTGGAAATGGAATTGGGCCCAAACCCAAATACACAAAACAGGTCATTACGTAGACCATTTCATTCGGTGGAGAAAATATGTGAGGAAGGACACATTCAAGTGCAAACGGACGGTACGATTATCCTTTTTTTCATTGATTTTTTCAACACTTCTGTCCCCACACAAAGAATAAAAGATAACCTTTCATGTGTTGCAAGAGCTTTTTATTATTATATTCCCGTATGTTTTTTAGTCTCTTCTAAAAACAAATAATAATTTTAAATTTAAAAGAAAACATTGATATCAAAATAGTTTTTCTATCTCACAAGGAAAGGTAAGGTTGTGCACAAGCTATTCTCAACATATTCTATTTGTAAAATTATACTGGATATGTTATTATTGATATTTAGAAAAAATATAATTGTAATATACTTATTTACTCTTGATAACATAATTAAAGTCACATAAACTTAATTATAAGTTTTAAAAATCTTTTTTTCTATATATGTCTTATTAAATGATATCAAGCAAATTTTGTTTTTAGCTTCTTCTTTTTTTGTGATTCCTTCTCGTTTGATTCCCTTTTGATTCCTCTCTTTTGTGTTGGAGTTATTGCTTCTTTAATGATTCGAACCCACGATCTTGAAGTTGTAAGTGAGGAGTATTGATCATCTGAGCAACAAACGCTTCTTTTTAATATTTCTAATAAGTTTGATATTATCACCTAAATAGAAAAGTAAAACAATATTTTTTTTTAATATGGAGAGAGAGGGGGGAAAAATACTAGCTCCTGAGCATGAAATGATGATATTTTTGGTGGACAATAAAGATATTGACTCAAAATCAAACTTATCAATTCAACAAAAATAATAAGTAATACTATATGGTATTGTGGGTAAAGGGCCGTACTTATTGGGATGGATTGTCAACAAAGTAACGTACCTACCTTACCCTGATAAGAACGGCTGAGCTTTGAACTTTAATATATAGATAGAGGAATTTAATAAGAAAGAGAAAAAGTTGGGGCCCACAACACCAAAGAGATCAACAACTAAAGAAACTTTGTTGAGGACCTAAGGGAGGTTCTTTCTCGCACAGGCCTTATCTGACCTGCTTGACAAGATAATATTATTTGTCCCTAGTATTCGTAATTTGAAATTTATTAAAATAATAGTTCGGTGCATAAAGACATTTTATATTTATGCAGGATTTAAGGAAGGGTCGTGCTTCGAAGGATGTGGCATAGATAGTCTACTATAATATAAGTATTAGTGGCTCTTTTTACGGTTCGAACTCATGACTTATAGATCACATATAGACAACTTTATCGTTCAAATTAACTCAACTAATTCAGATTCGCATCATATATGACCTATGAAGAGGGAAACACTTTTTATTAGTTTTTTTTTTCATTTTCAACATTCAAACATGAGATCTCTCGTTAAAGGTCGGGTAAAGAGATCTCGTATTCCCCCAACAGATCCCCGTGATACTTGGTGGTATTACTACTAATTCATGTTAAATTTTGTTTCAAACCAAATATAAGTATCTTAAATTGTTCGTTACTTTAGCTTTTCCTAGTGCAAGCATAGACTTTTCCGTCTTGAGTATATTTAGTTTTAGTTTGCACGACTAGTTAAAAAGGTTGGAAAAGGAGTATTATTTAGCTTTTGATAAGAGAAATGTGGGCTTAAGTACTCTATTCTGGTAAAGAAAACTAAAATTCTTATGGAAGAGAGAAAAAATGGGTTTTGAGGAACTTTTAAGAATAGATACATTATTTATTTGAAACTTTTTATATTTCAAGAATGCATCCATCAATTTGACTATGAGTTGATATATAAAAATCTTGACTTTGTCTACGTTAATTAGGGATTAAAGAAGTAATTAATTTTTTTAATCTATTTTTCTATTAAACTTACAAAACTTATTTAAATAAATAAAGTTAAATATAAATTTTGAAGTAAAACTTAGGTCGTAGTTGACTACTATCTTGGATACGGATATATGATAATTGATGAGTACTTGCCATGATAATTGATGAGTACTTGCCACTGAGGTTATTGCTTAAAAATCAAACTTATAATTATTAGCCCACAAATATACTTAAAACATAAAAGGTTATAAGAATTAAGAAATTATTATTTTGGGTAAGGGCCGTACTAATGGTTGGCCTTTCCACTAGTATGTACCTACCTTCTTCTTTTTTTTTTTTGGCTAAAGAAAGGAATACTTTATATTAAAATTGAAGAAGTCTAGTTATTACATAACATACGGTAGATTGCATAGCGATTGTCCCAATCTATCTTTATTGAAAGCGTTTAAAACAAAGTTAGGAGGAGTTTCCTAGAATATTGTGTTATCTTCCTCCGTTATTGATGATTGCATGGAACGTCTGTACTTTGCTAGAGCGTCAACCACAGAGTTGCATGCCTTCCCTATATATATGGGTAATAGCCTCCAATCCAACATCATCAAGAAGAAAACTGCAACCATTAAGAAGCTGTGAGAATCGATGTTGTTCAGTCTTAAACAAATAACATAATACCTGTGAATTTGTTTCCACTATAATTGAAAAGAGATTTTTTTGTGAAGGAGAGTTCCAGTCGAGCTAGTAGTGCGAGCATCTCAGCATGTAGGACCAAAATTGCAGTCACTTTCCCCGCAAAATCCATAACCCATGAGCCACTGTGGTCTCTAATGATTCCCCTAGTACCACTGGTCTGGTAAGTTGGATCACAAGCTCCATCGATGTTTAGCTTGTAATGGTTCGCAGAAGGTGGTAGCCACGTTACTAGGACTTGTAACTGTCGTTTTGGCTTGTTATGGTCTGGGTGAGTGATAGGAAGTCTGCTACTTGTAGCATAATTTATTTTTTTTGCATGTAGCGGTTGAAGTATAGTTGAAGAGGTTTGAATTTCTATTAATCCATATGTTCCAGAGGATGAATGGCAATAAGATGGAGTATGGTGCTTTGAGGGAGGCATATGGTGTGTGGATGGTAATGTCTTAGGTGCACTATCCTTCAGACAGTTGGTAAGGTTGTATGTTGGAGGTATGCATAAGTTGAACAAAAGCCACAAATGGCAGGAGAGTTTGCAGACAAAGAAAATATGGTATATGTCTTCCACAATATTTGGGCAGAATTGGCAGAAGTATGATTGAAATATTTTTTTTCTTGTACAGAAAATCTCTAATAGGGAGCTTGTGGTGAACAAGTAACTACAAAAAGACTTTTGTTCATTCAAGCACTTGAAGTGCCAAAGCCAAGAGTAATTTATAGGTGTGGGCAATGGTAGTTGGTTGGTGATATGGAGTTGGAGCAGATAGGCAGCTTTAGTAGTAAAATTACCAAGGGATATTTGGTTCCAGAAAGATTGGTCAGATTTGTTGGTGGGGAATGGAATATGAGTGTGGTTGATTAATTTAACTGTATCGGAATGTAAGGACAAGGATAATCTTCCCGGAATTCACGAGTGGTTTGAAAGAACTGATAATACTGTCAATTATTTCTCCATGTGGTGTAGGGGGCCCTAGATTGTATGGCGCAGATAGCTATTGTTTGGAAGCCAGCTGTCATTCCAGAGGTTGATGTTTGTTCCATCCCTTATGTTTCAAGAGAGTCCTGATTGGAAGAGGCCAGTGACTTTTGTCATACTTTTCCGTATGTAAGAATCAACTAGCTTGGCCTGATATGTCCCTGCTTGTCTATGCTGAACATATTTTGCTTGAAGTATTTTGACCCATAATGAGTTT